AAGCAAGTTATGGGTTTATTCAGGATCAACAAAGAATTGCAATTCAGGGTCTGCAACCACGGTGAGCCAGGTGCAAGTCCCCAGCGCCAAGGGCAGGAGAAGCTCTCTTACAGAGGGGAAGAAGAAGCTGGGTGGGCTATTGTAAACAAAGAGTCCATTGGAGGACTTGACAGTTCAAAGTGCCATGGCTCTTCACTGGCTGAGTTGTGACAGTCTCTCATTGGCTGGGCTGTTGCTGGGCAAGAAGAGGAAGTCTTTCTTCTTCCTGTGGGGCTCTGCAATTGTTGTAGGGTATGAAAGCTCCTCCTTCTGGCCTCCTGATTCTATTTTAAATGGAGTTTCTGTTTATTAATTTTCAAATTTTTCCCTTTTGATCGAGATCTTTCTCTAAAAGCACTGCTGATCAAGAGTCAGGTTTTTCCAATTTCATCAGTCTTTTTTCCCTTGATGCCAGGAAGGACCTTTCCTTGGCATCATGTCCACATTGGAGGGAAAGTGCACAGATTGGAAACCTACTGAGTTCACATTCCAGTGATATGGAGGAGTAGGAGGGAGAATTCTTAGGCATTCTTTCTTTTCTGAAGTTCACATGTTATCAAGTTCATAGGCACTGGAGATCATCTTAAGTGTCATCATCAAAGGCTTGGCAGACAAACTTCGAACAGGCCTGGTCCAGACACCTTGGGAAAGCTATCTCATTAGATGTCATCTGCTTCAATTCTGGGAAATTTTTACCCTTAAGTCACCAGATGATGTGCAGGCCCAGTCAGGGTTTAGTGCTTTTTTCAGGCGTGTCACATGAATCCATGAGTCTATTCCCTAGAGTTTTGTGGCAGAAGGATTAGTTAACAGTACCTGATGGGGGCCTTTCCAGGAGGTTGAAGAGAGTCCTTCTGGAGATGTCTTTTCCAATAATTGAAATTTCCAAGGTATGATGCTTGAGGTCTTCATCTCTCTGGAGTGCACTGTGAAAAGATTGCTTTACCAAAACATGGTTATTCTTAATAGGAGTAATTAGGCCTTTACAATATTGGAGTATATCTCCTTTTATCAGCTGTGAGTCAAAAGAGGCAGGAGCCAAATTTGGGCATCCTGTGACTATCTCAAAGGGGAGAGTTTATGAGTTCCAAGGTGGGGTGAATCTGAGATTTAGAAGGACCAACAGCAATGCTTTTGACCAAGGTATTTGGAGGGTCTCTATAAATTTTACCAGTTGAGTCTTAAGAATGTTGTTAGTACATTCTACTAAACCAGAGGATTAAGTATGGAAGCTCATTGAAAGTGCTGCAAAACCTGCCAAACAGGGCAGACTTGTCAAAGTACCTGACCAGTAATATGGGTTCCTCGATCACCATGAGGTTTAAGAGGAGTTCCTCAGGTAGGGATAATCTTTTCCAAAAGGACTTTAGCCACAGAAAATTCAGTAGCCTGTCTGAAAGGGAAGGCTTCAGTCCAGTGAAAAAACATACAGACCATGACTAAAATTTATTTATATCCATGAGATGGGGGAAGTGCTATGAAATTCATTTGCCAAAACGTGGATAGTCCATTAGACAGTTTGAAATGTCCAGGAGCAGTATGAATGCCTGTTCCCTCGATTGTATTTTGGACAAGTGGGACAAGTGAAGTAGGTACTTTTTGTGATCTTATTAATATTTCTCCACCAACGTCGATTCATTAATGCTACCGTTTTGTCAGCAGACCAATGGTTTAATGCATAAACAGTGGTTGGGAGTGGGAATTTTAGAGTCTCCAGTAGGTTTGGGTTGTTATTTGGTCCAAACCAGAGCTTTCTCTTTTTACCAAACCAATAATTGCTGAATTTCCACTCTTGTTTTTCCTTTTCTGAGCCAATTGTTGGGTTTCTCTAGCCAGTTTCTCTAAGTTATTATTTAGGGAAATATCCCTTTGGACCATGACAGAGGTTTGGCTGTTGTTGATTCCTTTAAGGGCAGCATTCCTTGTGGAAGTATCAGAAAGGTGATTTCCCTTAGCTCCCAGAGAGTCAAATTTAGAATGCCCCAGGATCTTAATAATAGCTAAAGCAGCAGGTAAAAGTATAGTATCTAATAATTCCTGAACATAAGGGCCGTTTTTTATTTCCACTAGAAGTGAGGAAGCCACATTGCTTCCACAACATCCCAAAATCATGGGCTATTCCAAAAGTATATCTACTATCAGCATAAATGTTGACAGTTTTGCCCTTGGCTAAAGTACAAGCTCACGTAAGAGCATATAATTCAGCCTGTTGGGCCAAAGTAGCCATAGGTAAAGGTGCTGCCTCAATGATATCAGAAGGAGTTGCAGTAGCATACCCAGCACAGTATTTGCCATTGTCACCTTTTAAATGAGAACCATCAGTTAACCATGAGAAATCAGTGGTACCCAAAGGAGTTTCCTGCAGATCATCATGGGGAGTTAGGACATGATCCATCAGTGTTAAACAGCCATGAGGGACTTCGTCAGTAATGGAAGGGAGAAGAGTAACGGGGTTGAGGTTATTACAGTGTAGAAGAGTTATGTGAGGAGCAGTTAACAAAAGGATTTCATAGGAGGTGAGATGGCTGACTGAAAAATGTTGAGCGTGATGAGAATTCAGGAGGGCTTTCACAGCAGAGGTACAAAAATAGTTAAAGGGGGACGCTATAATGATTTTCTCAGTGGCCCTAACCAAACGGGAAGTGCCAGTAATGGATCCAAGGCAAGGGGGTATCCCCATTCCACAGCGTCCAGTAGCTGGCTATAATACCCTATGGGTCAATAGTAGTCCCCATGTTTTGGGTGAGTACCCCAAGAGCATTCTATTCCTTGTCATATACAAAAAGGAAAAAGGGAATCTGATCATTGAGATGTCCAAGGACAGGCAGATTCATCAACTTCTCCTTCAAGGCCTTAAAGGCTACGTTGCTCAGTTCTTCCTGTAAAATTGGGTCACGGTTGTTGTTCTTTAGTAAAACATACAGAATTTTGGCCATAAGAGAGAAATTTGAAATCCAATTTCAGCAATAACCACCTAGAGAGATAAAACCTTGCAGTTGGTGCTTAGTTTTGGGTTGGGGGAAATTTAAGACACCATGAAATCTATCTGGATCTAGGTGTAGCCCATGTTCTGATAGCAGATCTCTAAATATAGAACTTGGGTTTGGGCTAACTGCGATTTCTCCTTGGTGACTTTATGTCTCTTTAAGTCTAAAAGCTTTAGCAAGTGGATGCTGTCTTCCTGTGAGGAGACTTGGGAGGGAGAGCAAAGAAGCAAATCATCCACATATCGCAACAAAGTAGAAACCCTAGGGACATTTATAGTATCTATATCAGCCCTCAGGACTTACCAGAAATAAGAAGGACTCAGTAAAATCCTGAGGCATTACTGTCCAGGAATATTGTTTGCCTTCCCAAGTAAAGGCAAAAGATATTGGCTAGCTTTAGCAAATGGAATACTAAAGAATGCACTGCATAAATATATTACAGTAAAGAATTTGCTTCCAGTAGGAATGGATGTTAATAGTCCATGAGGGTTAGGAACAGCAGGATGTCAAGGGATAACAATGTTGTTTATTGCTCAGTAGTTTGGGACAAACCCCCACTCCAGCCCTTGGGTTTTCCACAGGTAAATTAGTATTACAGGGACTGATAGGAGGGAGTGGGGAGAGGTTCAAGGAAATGAGAGGTTTGGTGAGAGAGTTAGTATGGGTAAACTGAGGCCATAGAGGAGGTGTAAACAGTATAGAAGGGAAGGAGAAAGATGGCCCTGGAGGTGGGGTCTGAGCATGAGGAGCCAGGGAGAGGAAAAAGATGATGCCAGAGGAGAAGAATACGAGGCTTTGGAAACCATATTCTGTTTCTTTGTTTGTTTGCCTCTGTTAATCTTAAAATTTTATTTTGCAAACAGACAATTTCAGACTCCTGATAACATTTGGAAGCCTTAAAATACCAATAAAAGTAGGCATTTCATTCAGTTTTGGAAATTTCAGAGCTATGGTTGTCCAATGGGTTTCAAGAAAAGTAAGTTTTGGGAGTTCAAAATTCCCCATAATGACCATTGGTGTTCTAAATTACTTTTGGTTAAGTCAATACATTTCGCTAGAAATGCACATGAGGAATGACCATGCTTTTTAAACATAAAATTAGCCAGGGTCTCTGTAGTGAGGGCACCCTTAAAATATTTAGATGACTGAGATCCCATTTCTCAGAGGTTTTTCTCTAGAGTAAAAGAATAATGTTTAAACAGAGTAAACAGCTCAAACTGCTTAAACAGCTTGCAACTCAAACAGCTTGAACAACTCAAACATCCTGCAGGCTTAACACCAGCACAGTTCTAAGGGAACAGCCTAATCCTGAAGGAGTCAGGCCAAAGGCTGAACAGCACAGTTGCAATAGAACAGCTCAGTTCCAAAGGAATCAGGTCGAAGGCTGAACAGCACAGTTCCAATGAAACAGTTTGATTCCAGAGGAGTCGAACCCAAGACTGAGAAGCCAATTCCAATGGAACAGCCTGATTCAGAAGAGTCAGACTGAAGTGCCAACTGAGACAAAACAAGGCCTTAACCAGAAAAGGGCAAAGCCTTAAAATGGGTCCCAAATAAAGCCCAGAGAGTTTCAAAACACAAAGAGATTGGAAGCTTGGATCCAGGAGAAAGACTTACTCTCAAACCCCAGGGTCAGTGAGAAAAACAGCAAGCTCAATGGGCTCTTTTGTGGGTGCCACACTTGTTTGTTCAGCAGCCTTGGAACCATTGGGAGGTCTTCTCTGGATCCTTGTATGAGCAGGAAAATGTTGTCTTTAAACAAATAGCCAGTTATTTCTCCAGAAAAAATGGGTTTATTCAGGATCAGCAAAGAATTGCCCCTTGGGGTCTGCAACCATGGTAAGCCACGTGCAAGTCCCTAGCAACAGGGGGAAGAGAAACTCTTTTATAGAGAGGAAGAGGAAGTTGGGAGGACTATTGTAAATAAAGAGTCCGTTGGAGAAATTGAGAGTTCAAAGTGTAGGCGCTCTTCATTGGCTGAATTGTGCTAGTCTCTCATTTGCTGGGCTGTTGCTGGGCAAGAAGAGGAAGTCTTTCTTCTTCCTCTTGGGCTCTGAAATCCTTGTAGGGTATGAGAGCTCTCCCTTCTGGCCTCCTGACTCCATTTGAAATGGATTTCTGCTTGTTGATTTTCACAGTGGCTTAAACAACAGAATATTTTTCTCACCGTTATGGAGGCTGGGAAGTCCAAGATCAAGGTGCCAGCAAGGTAGGTTTTATTCTGAAGCCTCTTTTCTTGGCTTGTAGGTGGCTACAATTTCTGTGTGCTCACATGACCTCTTTATGTGGTCGAGTGGAGAGAGAGAGCTCTGGTATCTCATCCTCTTTTTATAAGGACATCAACCCTATCAGATTAGTGCTCTACTCTATGACCTCATCTAACCCTTATTACTTCCTTATAAGTCCTATCTCCAAATACCGTAATGTTGTTGATTACGGCATCAACATATGAACTTTGGAAGAACACAATTCAGCCCATAGCATGTAACAGTGGTTACCTTTTATTGTTAAGGCATATTTAAGATCTGTTTTGCCTCTTAAACTGTAAGCTCTGACATAGTAAGAACTCAGTAATTACTTTTGAATGAGTAAAAAGGAATAAGACCTGGTCTCTGCCCTTAAAAACAAATAAATCTAGCTCATTAATTAGGCATAAGTAAAACTGGTTATAATATAGCATAGTAAACTTGATTATAGATAATTGTATGAACAAGGTACCATTGGAAAGAATCATTAATTTGTTAATTCTGCCCTGGATGAGGGTGAAGATGGGGTGGGAGTCAGAGTCAAGGAAGGCCTCACAAAGGAGGTGATATTTGAGCTGGGCTTTAAGAGGAGAAGACTTCTCTATTGCTTTGACTATCTCTATAATTTAGGTATGCTTCCAAAAAAACAAATCTGTAGTGGCTCTTAAATGTGTATTTCCAATGAAATACTGGGTTGTGTTGCACAGGCTACTTCCTTGGGCTTATAAATCCACACTGTACAGCATAGTAACCACTAGTCACATGTGGCTGTTTAAATTTAAGTTGATTAAAGTTAAATAAAAATAAACATTCAGTTACTCAGTAACTCTAGCAACATTTCAAGTGCTCAATAGCCACATGTGACAGTGCAAATTACAGAACATTTCCATCATTGCAGAAAGCATGCTATAAACAATGCATTCATTCATCTAATAAATTTGTATTAAGCATCTACTATTTGCCTGATACTGAGCTAGATGATGGTGTGCACAAAGAAAAATATGACAAGATTTTGGACTTCACAAAGCTCACGCTAGTGAATTGGCCCTCCTCTGTTTCTAAGTGGTTCATGATAACTTCCATTTGCTTATTTTTGTAAACTTCAAGATTACTATTTCTAGAAATGTGTAGGCTGCTTGTAGCTTGTTGAATTGAAAGTTTCTCAGATGCTCAGAAATCAGAAGCATGGCTATGAATGAAACTTTGAATAAATCCATCCCTTACTAGGTACTCATCCTATAATGAGTACCATGGAAAATACACAAGAAATATAAGATAAAATATCTTCCTTCTATGAGTTTATAAATTAAATGAAATGTTGAATGTAAAATGAATTTATAAAACATGAATATATTTCTATTACTAAAGAAAAATTGGGGAGACCGGATTCACATAAATTTAATGAGTAGAGAATGATAAAAGACAGTATACAATCAAGTGCTGGAGTATATAATATAAACTTATAAATCCTATACAAATTCAGAGTTGAGAAAGAACTACATGAAATAAAATGGTCAAGAAAGACTTTGGGAAGGAAGTGATGATAGTAGTCAGGAAACACTATGTTACAAGTGATGGAAAACCAACTCAAACTTTCTTCCACAAAAAAGGGGGATTTATTGATTTATGTAACTGGAAAGTTTAGGTGTGGACTTCAGATACAAATGCATCCAGGGAATCAAAATGATCACCTCACTCTGCTCTCTCTCTCCATCTGTCAGCTCTACTTTCCTCCATAGTGGCTCTATTCTTAAGAAGGCTCTTTCCTCATGGTAGCAAGATGGCTACCAGCAACTCTAGGCTTACATCTCACTCATTCAGAAACCCCAGTAAGAAGATAGCCTGTACCTCTAAGTCATTCTGTTTGGGTTGTATTATTATCTGTGAACCAATCTCTTAGCCAGGAGAAGGCAATGCTCTGATTGCTCTGATTGGTCAAGCCCGTGTCAAAACCTCATCGCAGAAGAGGAGGGGGGAGGACTGAGAGTTGGGTAGGTGTAATCCCACAAAGAAAATCTTGGAAATGTATTAAAGTAAGAACAACCAAAAACAAGGGAATGGAAGTTAGATAAATAACTAAAGTCTAATTCAAACCAGGCCTTGAGGAGAATATCAAATTTCTTCCTTCCTCTGATAGAAAGGTGAAGTGGGTGTCCAAAGAAAGAGAAATAGAATAAAGACACAGAGACAAAAATGAGTGTGCCATCTCCAGAGAAGGAATTCGGTTTCATCACATGGGAATTTATCAGAGAAGAGATTTTATGCATTTGGCTTTGATTTATCATCTTTAACATACCCTGGGCAAAAGCTTTCTTAGTCTTGGCTGATCCAGTTAACACAACACAAAGCAGAAACAGGACAATAAGCAAATCAATTGGTAAAATTCATATCTGCCCCTTTCTATCTGATTGCTTGCTTTTCTACTTGATGTTTTCTATTTCCTGACTTGTATGTGTTCCCTGAAGTTCATATAATCAATTAGTGCGAATGTTTCTCACCAATACTGCCATCCATCCTCTGACTTCCTAGATCCCAAAAAAATTTTATTTTTAAATATAAGTTCTTAACATTTGGGATCAGCCAAACCCCACAGCAGTAAAGCATGACACATGTCATCACAGATTAACCTTAGCATATTGGGCAAATTGTCAGAGCTGCCAATGTTTCTCAGGAGCTTCAAGAGTCTAGTTCTGTTAATGGCATTGGATACTTTAGTGAGGCCTATACAAAACACATAAATATCTCTATGCCTAAATTTGTGCTATAAAAGGCATCTCACACAGCCCGGAATGGTGAGAGCAGTCTGCTCCAGACACAGAAAATAAGGGGGTTCATGGTCTGTAGAAAATTTACAAACAATAAGAAAACAGACTAAAAGTCAGTCTGCTTTTTATTATCACCATGAACCTACATTTTAAGCAATGTCAGGGATAAAATGCTCCTCTGGGAAAAAAATTCTTTGATTGATCTGTTATGATTTCTCAACCTCGCCACTATTGACATTTTGAGCTGGATAATTCTTGTTAGGGGGTGGTGACTGTCCTGTGCATTGTAGGATGTTTAGCAGGATCCCTGGCCACCACCCCCTAGATGCCAGTAGCACATCCCTCCCCAGTTATGACAATCAAAAATGTCTCTCAACATTACCAAATGTCCCCTGGGAGGCAAAATCACCCCTGGTCGAGAACCACTGGTCTAAGTTCAAAACAATTGCAATGATTACTATTAAGATTTAATAATATGTATTTTATTACTTTTAATAATAATACTTATTTCTGTTACGTCATAATAAACATTACATTGGATAAGGAAATTAACTCGAAGAACGTTCCGTTATACACTTGGCCTTCGACACACATGGATCTCTCTATGTGCATTCATTTCAAGAGGAAGTTCCTAACACTTTAGAATCATTTGAGCTCGCTTTTGGTAGAGTTAGTATCTCCAACCCTTGTGCTTCTGCATATTTCGATATTTAAATAGTAGCTTCAAAATAAGCAATGATAGCACAATGATTTCAACAGCAAAGAAACTGCATCTGAACTGCTTTGATACTGTCATTCTATGTGACTAATGGAATTTTTTATTAAAAGAGTGAAACCGAGGGAAAGCTGTAATGTATTGTTCCTTAGGTATTTGGATTCGGTGTTTTGGTATACTTGGTTTGGTATTTTCGTGTGGTAAGCGGAAATTTTAGTTGATAAATGAACTATTTTACTGAATTTGAATGATACATTTAAAATTAAAATTTATCTTTAACTTCTCATTGAATTTTTTAATTGTTATTACACTATAACATTATTACTTTATTGTTTACTATTGCAGCACACCAATATGTAGGTGTAAGTTTTTCCCTTAAAAAATACATTAGTATAGGGGCCAGCCCAGTGGCACAGCAGTTAAGTTCACGCCCTCCGATTTGGCCGCTCAGGGTTCGCTAGTTCTGATCCCAGGCGCAGACCTATACATGGCTTATAAAGCCATGCTGTGGCAGCATCTCACACATAAAGTAGAGGAAGGTGGGTGTGGATGTTAGCTCAGGGCCAGTCTTCCTCGGCAACAAGAGGAGGATTGGCAGCAGATGTTAGCTCAGGGCTAATCTTCCTCAAAAGAAAGAAATAAAGGAGGGAAGGATGGAAGGAAAGAAACAAACAAAGAAACATTAGTATAAATGAAAGTATTAATCTATTACCTTTTTCTTTATAAACATAAATGTTATAAACTTCCACTTATAAGATAAGTACTATGGATGTAATGCATGACATAATGGTGACTATAGTTAACACTGCTGTATGGCACATTTGAAAGTTGTTAAGAGAGTGCATCCTAAGAGTTCTCATCACAAGGAAAAAAACTTTTTCTTTTCTTTTTTTATCTATATGAGATGATGGATGTTAACTAAACTTATTGTGGTAATCATTTCACAATATATCTAAGTCAATGTATATTGTGTTGTACACCTTAAACTTACACAGTGCTGTATGGTAATTATATCTCAATAAAACAGGAAAAAAGCATTAACCTATTACATTTTTCTTTTTGTAGTGTAATATTTCTTTTATTTTTTAATATTTTACTGGCATGATTACACATAAAAAATTAAAAGAGTCTAAATAATAATAATCAATAAAACAAAATTCTCACTCTCTTGGCCATTAATTTCACTTCATTATCCTTGTTGAAAATGACTTTGTCCTATAGAGGAAGGGGATATTAAAAGTTATCTTTTCCAGGTGTCGAATATGCCAAGTTTGCCTCTCTTTGGCAGAAAACAAATTTTTCTACTGCAAGGTCTTTTGCGCTAAAATGGTGGTTCTCAACCAGGGCCAATTTTGCACTCCTCCCAAGGGGACATTTTACAATGTCTAGAGACAAATTTGCTTGTCACAACTAGGGAGGGAGGTGCTACTGGCATCTGTGGGTAGAGGACAGGGATGCCACGAAACATCCTACAATGCACAGGACAGCCCCCCACAACAAAGAATTGTCTGGCTGAAATATCAATAGTGCTGAAGTTGAGAACCCTGGCTAAAGCCATGATTCCCAGAATTATACAATCACTCAGAGCTCAACAAATATTATTGAGAATGTACGGCCCAGCTAAATTAAATGCTGAACGAATCGGACCCTTATGTAACAAAACACTCCAAAATCATGAATTTCTACCCGCCCTGTGAGGTTTGTGCCATTGCCTATATTCTCATCTTACTGACAGTGTGCATCACCCCTGTGATGGGTTTTTTGAGGCAGGGTTGAGAAAGGAAGGACATTTTATCGCCATCATCTCTCAAACCTTCTCTAAGCCAACCAGGTAAAGAGTTAAATTTGGAAAAGTAAAGGACACTCCAAATCCCAAAAGATCTTGCCTGTATTTGCATAGAAAATCTAAAACCATATGCAATCCCTGTGACAGTCTGAATCCAGAGTAAAAGAAACTTGGAAGTTTTAACAACCCAAAGTAAAAATTGTAATTAGTATTTCAAAAATATCCCTATTCCATGATTTTTATAATCCTCCAGTCTTCTATGCAGATGAAAAGTAAAATTCAAATTATCTACTCATTGAACCCATAGATAATTCAGTGACATCTGTAACCTAAAACAAATACTTTCCATCTGCTAAAAAAAAGTAATTTAAATTGAAAAAAAAGGAAGAAAAAGGCAAGGGATAAAAGCTCTATATTCTCCTTGAAAAGAAAAGACGCTCTTTTTGAATAGGAACTAACTAGATATAAAATCCCCTTGATCTGGAACCAGGTACGTTGTTGTCTAGATAAACTCTTTTAGGAGCCAGTAGTGAAAGCTATTTCATTTTCAGTTTAATTACAATGATTTACTCATTAAATGGAAAAGTCTCTGATAGATATCAGTCCTACATACCAGTCCCCTTTCTGTCAGGAACCAGCTTACAGCCAATTCAATTTTATACCGTCCAAGCCTATTTTATTAGCATATTATCAGTACGGGTTATTCAGTCAGCCAGCTGTGCTTTTTGAGTAGATAAAATGACATCATTTCTCCTGTTGTGGATGTTCCCATTTTTACGCCGATGAAAGCAGGGTGGGGGGTGGGGGGATCATGAGGTTGTATTTCCATCTCGTGACCATATTAATGTTATGAGCTCAGATTCTTGATCTTACATGGGATTTTCTGACAAAGACCATCTGAAATAACTTAAATATAAAGACATAAAATAGAGTTACCAAAAACACATGAGGATTTGAAAACATGTGGATACATGAATAAACTGAACCTGGGACGGCCAAGTATTTCATTACTTCTTATAAGGCTATGCTATGTTTACAATAATGACTTTCTTTAATATGCTACCGTTGAACTTTTTAATATGAATTTCTAATTTAAAGTAAATCAGCCCCAAATAATTTGTGCTACAAATTTGATTAACCCTTTTCTGCACTGAGGATCTTTCTACAGCAAGAGGAGCAGAGACAGACTGCTAAAGGATAATGAACGTTATCTGGGCTGAAGTGTGGCTCCCCTCCAGCTCACCTCCAAGAACAAGAGAGATTTACAAATAAGTTCTAGCTAGATGTGATCTCTTTCTCATACATCATTTGGGGTGTCCAACATACCGCACTAATTCTACATACAATGGAATGCAGTTTTGATTTGTGCTTCATCTTCACTTACTGGATGATAGCAGCTGTCTAAATTTGTAAACCATTAGAGATGCCATCATTAACTGCTGGATGAGCTTGACTTCCGATTCCAGAATGGTTTAGAGCCATGTGATGCTGAGAGGAAATATAGCAAAAACAAGAATGGCTGGAAAACCAAAGATCAGATTTCATGCTTTTCTCTGTATTATGATCTTCCCTCAAAGTTGGCATCTTGGCATTTATAGCTTCTTGGCACCCTTTAATATAAATAAAGCTTTCCTATTGACAGCTTCACCCAACATTCGCAAGAGGAGATATTTTGAATGCCCTTTCCAATCACCTAGAACGATAAGATGGGGAATTGGCCTGGTCTTTGGATAATTTAAAACAATTTTGTATTAGCCAGAATAAACTGGGCTATGCCACTAGTTTACTTGCCATTTGTATAAGGCACAATATGGTACAGGAAGCGCTACCCCATCCTGTAGCTATGCCATATTAAACCCATGGCCTCCAAAGTCATTGCAATAATAGCAAAGAGGAATAGAGGAAGCATCTGAAGTCTTTACTGACTCAGGCAAGAAAAGTCGCACATCACATCAGCTCCCTGTCCATTAGCCCAAATTAGTCACACAGTTCCACTCTAACTGCAAGGGAAAGTGGGAGATCGTAGGAAACACACGGATGTTTGTTGAGTACTATCTCTGCCACAGTCATTTCACTCACACATTCTACTCATAGTCATTTTGTCATTCTACTCAAGTATCTGGGATGCAAACCCCTGCTATTGAATTTTAACTCCATTTTGCCTAGGTCCAACAGGTATGGATAAATTTCCGTGCTCTTGTTAATCGATAAAAAAAAAACAGGAAGTAATAAGTAAAGTTTGTTTTGAAGGGAGCCAATCGTAGTCAGTTGAGATGCTTGATCCAGTAAATCTAATATGCAGTACATGAATAGCTCAGAACATGTCTCAAAAATGCTTTGATTCAAATCCAGGAAACCAACACACCTTGCCTGCTGATATGAGGCAACCATTTTGAAATTGGCTAAGGGTATTAATCCTTAGGCTGTCACGAATGCCTACAGGCTGCCTTCAATAACATTGATTTGGCTGTCAAGTTAGGGTAAGATGTCAACATCTCATACTACCCAATTAAGGTTTTAGAGACATACTTCTTTCAAAGAAACAAAAGGTCTGTCTCTTCTTGTGTCTCACATACCTCAATGTATGTGGTGTACAACATCATATTATAGAGATACAAATAACTGTGGAACATGATACGGCTGGGACACAGATTCCACCCAGTACAGCACACATGCCACTGACATGGCAGAAGCTGCCCTCATTAGTACTGATGTACAAGGATAGTAGTGGCACATTTTTTTGCTTTGCAACTTGGGTTGTCAGACAGTAGTCTCTCTCAAATTTTGCACATATAACAAAAAATATTCTACCTGAAACCCTCAAACTTCCTATAATTCTTTGAATTATAATGAAATCTAAGCATTGGCAACAGTCATGTAGAGTAACTGCCAAATGGGAATTGGTGCGGTCCTCTATTGAGGAGAACTTCTGACTTCTTAGCCCATTTTGCATGGTTCAACAGCCATTAATAAGACTGATAGTAATAGGAGAGTCATCCTGCACTGTTCGCAATTGAGACCAACCAAGACATCCTTTAGCTGTTTGCAGTAGCAATGGTTATCATGTGGCTTTGGCTGTGTTTGAATCTTTTGGGATTTTTTTGCAACTTCAGGACTGATTTGAATTTGAATTTTCAAATACATAAAACTGACCGGTTTTGTGGGATGGGAAATTCAATATGAATGAGGTGATATCCCCCCAAATTCCTTTCTCCCTTTCTTACTACACACATGGCTTCTCAGCTAGAGAGAATATTTCAAAGTTTCCCCAGCAGAAGAACATGGATACATTATTAAGTTCTTGCCAATGGGATAAGAACATAAAGGATGTGTGCAATATCTGCCTCACTTGCTTAAAAGGCAATTGCTTACCCTGGACTCCTCCTTTTCTCTCCTTTTCACGAGATGGAACATAGATATGCCAGGAACCCATTTTTGACCACACAGTTTAGAAAAGGCCCTAAGAGATGGCGGAGAAACAGGATGGAAGAAATCTTTGTCCCCGAATGAACTTCTCAAGCAGAGAAGCCTCACCATCGTAGCCTAGCCAGACTTTACTTAGGAAATTAAACTTCTATCTTATTTAGGCCACTGCATTTTGAAGGATCTTTGTTAAAACAGCTTAATCTTTACCTTTCCTGCAGCATTGGCCTCCAGTGCTCCACGTCACCTCCGCTTGGCCCCCTCTGATTGCAGCAGCAGCCTGCAGTGGACAGTTCCGTGTGAGCTCAGATCCATCTCATGGTGACAGCATCCCCTCAAATGCGTGCTGTGCACCTTTCTAATCCTTGCATCAGGGCGTTCATCAATGCCTCAGCAGCCGTCTCACACCACACACGACCCTCAAATAATGGGAGCCAAAAGGCCGTGGGTAAGCAGCCCAGACCCTCTTCCTCTCAGGCAGACAATTCTGGGAGGATAAATGGTTAAGAGAACTAAAAATGTTTAACCCAGAGAACACCCACTAGAACCCAATAAAAAGCGTTAAATATTTGAAAGGTATGTATAGAAGAATTCAATGAAATTTATTCTGTAAGATCCCACATAGGAGAATGAAGACGAAGAGGTAGGAGATGTAGTGAGCAAGATTTCAGTTCACTATAAGTAAGGACTTTATCAATTCAAAGTTGTTCAAAGTTAAGTTTCTAAAGCACATTTTTGATATATAGTGACAGGTTGCTTAAAATCCTCTAACGACTCCCGCTAGCTGCTCTTCTGACCAGGCAGACAAGGTCCTTCAGGATTTCCCTCTCCTGCCTCTGCTTCTCCTGCTCCCAGCCTCGTCCCACCTCCGACAAACCATGACAAACTACTGACAGTTCTTCTAACCAGCCAGGCTGTTGGATCACTCTGCCGGTCTTTCTGCCCTTTCCACTTTACTAGCCATTTGTTCTCCTCAAGCCAGATCAGGCATTGCTTCCTCTGTAAAACCTTGTCCGACCCCTGCCTCACCCCCACTACATCCACACACACGATAATTATTCTCTCCTCTGTACTATCTGTTCCCTTCACATTCTCCTTTTTGCCCTTATTGCCCACACTGTAGCAGAATGATCTGCTTGTATGTCTGTAAACTCTCCTAAACCGCAAGTTCCTTAAAACCAATGACAGTATCTTAGTCATCTCTCTGCCTGCATCCCTTAGGAAGGTGCCTGGCACATCATAGGCACTCAATTATTTGAATAAATGAATTTAGGAAAGAAGGAAAGAGAAAGAGAGAGAAAGAAAGGAGGGAGGGAGAAAAGGAAGGAAGGAAGGAAGGAAGACTTAGAGTTTTTGGCAGGATAATATAGGGAGAACTGAATCATTGTGAGTGGTTATTCTGACTTACCCCTAAGGTTTCTTCCAACTCTGAGTGTCTGTGATTCCAGAAAAATTGCTAGCTGCTCAAGGCTAATTAGACTTATTTAAATGAAAATTAGTTTAAAATATCATTCATCCTATAGGGAGGACACTTTATCTCAAAATAAAAAGGAATTTTATCTCCTGTTAACATCTTAAATTGCCTGGTTACACCATTCAACAGTTAGTAAGTGAAGACTCTAACTTTTTATACCATTTAGTACCGAATGTTTCAGAATAGAAGTAGGTGATGTGTGTGTGGTCATGTGTGTACATATATGTGCATGCACATATCTATGAGTAATACACATTGTATTCCCTGAAGTGCTGCAATCAGATAGAGAATCTCAACCTTACGAAACGAATAAAGGAAAATTGATTGCTATGGCTTAGCTAAATCCTCACAGGTACAGAATTGTGAAGCTCGTTTATTAACACCATTACATCACGGCTCTCCATCTCAGACTCAGTAGGTTGCCGAGCTAGTTCCAATCTAACAGATAAACACAGTTGCTGTTCCCTGCTTCTCATCGGCATCTTGGTTAAGGTGTAGCAGAGCTCTGGAAGATCCTCATTAGGGGCAGCTCCTCCGACTCTTTCTTCAGTCACTGTTGGCATGATGGGCACACCTAAGCCAGGGAGCCACAATAACAAGAAGCTATCCTTTACCTTTGCCCACATGTCCCGCTAAAATTCTTTTAACATCCCACTATCCTCTATGGTGGAAGAGAATCCAGAGATGAGGTACAATTGTATTTTACACACAGCTTTGCTGCTCTGTACCTATTCTAAATATTGTCATGTCTGCGTTGCAATTCTGATGGTAATAATTAAAACTGGGCCTTGGCAAAACTGTGAAGATATGAAAGTCGTACCTTTAGCAGCCCCCTTTTGAGGGCTTTCTTCTTTCCCTGTAAGTCTTAGTATCCTTTAAGTGCTTAGTATCCTCATAATTCTTGGTTGTCCAGGGTCCTCCACATGGGCATTCTCCATTCTCTGGAGCATCTCATAATCCCTGTCTCACTCACTCACCTTAAAATTTATCTGTACTGAGGACTAGTCTTTTACCACCTTTCAAAATGACTAGGTAGATAATCTGATCAGTTAATTCACGGGTCAAGTTAATGGATGATAACAACAAGGGTTCGATCATGGCTTCACCACTTCCCAACTGTGTGCTCTAGGGCGAGTTATTTAACTCTTTTTTTTGCCTCAGTTTTCTCATCTGTAAAATGGGGATAACAAGAGCACCTATTTTATAGGGCTGTTGTGAGAGTTAATACATCTAAAGTGGTTAACTACAGTGCCTGGCACATAGTGTGTACTCGATAAATGTTAGCTATCAATAATCATATTTAGGAGGGAGATGAGTGCTCGGTCAGAACTTCAGATCTTGTGGAAAATTCCTTGGGAGCGATTTTGGTGGCCTATATTTTAGCACATATTCTGCCTGCTTCATGAGGTGGTCCTTAGTGGTTCTCTCTGCACGGTGGTACAATACAGAAAGACCAATGAGAGAATGTGAGTCCTTCTCCACAGTCGGAAGTAAAGCTCTTTAATAGGCAAGTATTCTCACCAAGGACGTCCCTGAGAACTAACTCACTCATTAATTTCCTAAAACCCTTGTGTCTTGTGAGAAGTTTTAAAAAAATGCCTTTGCCTTTTCTCCCCAGCTTCTCTCAAGTGATGACTATTGTCCTTCATCGGCCAAGGCTACGCATTTTGACATACCTTATCAGACAAAATGGTGTTGCTGTGCTTGTCCTTATACATCTTAATGACTGGTATCAAAAATCCCAGGAAAAATGTATTATGGCACAATGTAATGTGCTTAAAGTCATTTTTCTTTTTCATAGGGATCATTTCAGTTATAGAAAGTGTGCTTTTTAAATATATTAAAAGAAATTCAGACAAGTTTTTAAATCCTGTTATCTCTGTAATGACTTAGTTTCTAGACAAAATTGGCATCCTTTTAAAAACTTGAATTTTTTTCTTCAGCTCCTTTCCTTTTTCATAAATGTAGCCTAGAAGATAAATCTGTTGTATGAAGCCCCAGACTGAAGGCAAAAAGAAACTACAGGAAGGAGGTCACATAGTTTCATATGATAAAGCCAAGATAAGAGAGACATCAAATCACTCACGTCTCTTTGCCACTGATGTTTGAACTTGCCAGTGTAGAAGGTAATAATGCACACTTCTATCTTTCTAATAACTTCCTATCTTCCTAATAACTGCCTGTTTAATGGAGCTTCAGTTGTCTGCTTATGCTGGTCCAATTCTATTCTTTTCTTTTTAAACTTTCCTAGTTTTTGCTTTCTGCGTTTTTTACAGTCAATTTTACACATTCATTATTTTCTTTTTTAAAAAATGTTTGATTGAACGTTATGTTAGTTTTATGTTTCCTCCCCTCCCTTCCCAAACTCAGACACCAGCCCCTTTGAAGTTTCTTGAGTGACCACATATGGCCAGAGTGATTTCTGTCGAGAGCTTAAAAGCACCATGCGTAAATCATCCCCTATTTTCTTCCCACTCCCTTTCAATTCAAAGTGTATGCTCTCTCGGCAACTCAGAGTGATGCATTTCAACAGAGCACACTTTATAAAATGGCTGTTAGACCACTTAGATTTTATACGGAATCATGTCTTAAAAATTGGCCAACCCTAGGTACTTCAGAAGGAAGGTTATATAAAGCATGGTCCAAGTAATGTCATTGTAGTACGTCATGGAGTTAACTTCATGGTATTATTATCTTCAACTAAATGTTTCCATCCGTCCTGTTCCTCAGACCATTTTCACTTATAAACTGCAAGGTAAAATTGTAATTAAGTTCCATCAGTAAGCGTTGATTAAGCACATCTCAGCTCTTTAAACATACTGCAAACATACTGGAATACTGAGAATATGCATTTTCTTCCTTGATTTCTCTTCCTGTTATTGCCTTTCCATGTATCTTTGTGATTTATAATCTCTGAGTTATTGAGCTTCTGAATGTGGCTACTGAAATAACTACAATGTTCGGCTAAATTGAGAGAAAATCGAACTTTTTTCCAAATTGATTTTCTGAAACAAATGGCCAAGGGCAAAATTTGAAACTTAAGCAAAATCTCATGTATTTCTAAACAATTTATTCTTTGCAAGTACAGAATAACTAATCACTTTAAAACTAAGAAGTATAAAAATTAGTCACTGCATAATAGGTACAATTGATTCTCCTTATTTGAAGATTCCATATTTGCGAATTTGCCCCCCTCCTAAAATTTATTTGTAAATTGTAACACAAAATCAACACTCACTGTACATTTTCTGTCATTTGCAGACATGTGCACATTTTCTGTCATTTGTAGATGTGCACATTTTCTGTCATTTGTAGACGTGCGCAGTAGTGACAAATTTGAGTCACTGAGTGTAGGTTCCCAGTTGAAGTCAAACAAGGCACCACTTGGCCTTCTTGTTTGAGCTCTCATACTATAAACAAGTGTCCTTTTTGCTGTCTATTTGGTGCTACATTTTCTATGCTTTTTGTTGGTGATTTTGCTGTTTTAAATGGCCCTCAAGCATAGTGCTGAATTGCTGTTCAGTTTCCCTAAGCAAAAAGGCTGTGATGTGACTTGTAAAGAAAATACATGTGTTAGAGCTGTTGGCTATGAGTCCAATGATAATGAATCAACAAAATAATATATTAAATAAGGTACATTTAAACAGAAGCACACATAAAGCAAGGTTATATGGTGATTGACTGATGGAAATGTGGTGACCAGAGGCCCACAGGAACCTAACCCTACATTTCCCTTAGGAGCACTGGTTCAAAACTTTATAAAACATAACTACTGCAAATAATAAGAATCAATTATATTTTAAACCCAGGTTTAGTTAGAACTTCCAAGAAATCAGCTATATAAATAAATTAATAAAGTATCTTTCTATGCCAAGATCTCTGGGTCATAGGCCCTTGGACTTTTCCATAAAAGGAGTACTGAAATTAGGTCGATTTATTTTGATGAAGATAATTCCTTGTTTTCAGACAATAAA